TAAATAAGAAGAAAGAAAAGTGGATGAAAAAATAACCAGCCGTGAACAGGAATCAAACTTATGACCTCCGAAGGTTCGATTCCTGCTCACGGGAAGTTATTTTATCACTCACTTTTCTTTTTTCCTATTTACATTACACTAGTTTTAATAACTTCCCCTATACAGTGCTTGGCATTATTGTCTGTTAGATCGCATATATATATATATATATATATATATATATATATATATATATATATATATATATATATATTATTATTATTGTTACTCACGACAGTCCCCAGAACACGCATCCGGTGCAGCTAAAATATCGTAGCACCGAAGCACACCCACACACACAGAGAGAGATTATAGTCTGTTGAGTGACTAGCCCCGCCGTGGTGGTCTAGTGGCTAAGGTACTCGGCTGCTGACCCGCGTGTTGCGGGATTGAATCCCGGCTGCCGCTGCTGTATTTTCAATGGAGGTGAAAATGCTGTAGGCCCGTGTGCTCAGATTTGGGTTCACGTTAAAGAACCGCAGGTGGTCGAAATTTCCGCAGCACTTCACTACGGCGTCTCTAGTAATCATGTGGTGGTTTTGAAACGTTAAACTCCACATACCAATCATTGTTGAGCAACGAGGTTTGAAATCCAAGATGGGTAGCCTCTCCAGTTTATGCAGTTATGACCATCACCACCTAGACTCTTTTTCTAGGTGGTGTTGTTATGACTCGCTGCTGTCGCCCGACCTCTGTGCACAATGAAAAAGATAAAAAAGGCCGAGTTTTATTATCACTAGATTAAAGTTGTAAACTTTGTTATCACGAGCCGGACTATAGGTTTGGCTTGGTTTTGCAAAGACTATGCGCACAGTTTCACATTTGCCTGATCACGTGGTACCGCAGTGGCGTGGCTCTCAGTGAGCGCAGCTGGGCGTCTCTCCACCGCGGATCACGTGGCATGACGTCACACTTTCAGTCCGGCAGCTCAAGGTCAAGGTTAGTGCGTCGCGGTGAATGACCTTAGAGACAGCGTAGCAATGCTTTTGCACGAAAACAGAGGACAGCGCCTGGCCAATATGATATGCATTTATTTTTGTGTTGGTGTGCGCAAGCGCTATATGACATTTACGAAAGAGCAACTTGCCCAGAAACAACTACTTCCATTGTACAATCGAAGCAAGTACTTTTATAATTAGTACAAACTGACAAGTCGAATACTGTAGCCTATACATATGCATAACTGTCGACTGCATCACAACGCGTCCTGACATGCTGCAGAATGTCGCGTTCTCTGTCAAGTGATGCAGTAATCAAAAAGGACAGTAGAAGAATATAAAAGCTTTGCTTGACGCACAGTACCCACACGTGCCGCGTTGCTTTTCTTTGCGACTAGCTCGTTACACTCCTGATTGGCTGAAAAACTGACAAAAACTTTGTGTAGCATCGGCCACGAGTGTCCCGCAATGTGTCTGCTACACCGTCTGCTACACTGTTAGCAGACGGTAATTATCATTGATAGAGCGGTTCCTGTGAGATGATTGTCCGTCTTATCTGCGGCATAATTTACGTTTCAGCGCCGGTCAGTACAAACGACATCTAATTTCTGTTCTTCTCTGTGCTGTTTTAATGGGCATAGCATTTTTTCAATTAAATTCCCGGCGTTTGGACCTGCCATATAACATATACAGAAGACCGGATCAGGTTTAAGCAACTGAAAGGGACATCGGCGCCGCGAATGTGTGCACCGGATAAACGATTCCAACTTTCGGTAGAGGAACTTGGTGTCCTAGTTACTATATTCAACCAGTGCATGCTTCATCTGGTAAATTAGAACACGTTTAGGACTGCCCACTCGTAATAAAGTACTCTCAGTACTTTATTACGACGCCGGCAAACTGTTGTGTAATTATCGTGATTGTGAAAACTACCATTTCCTTATTGGTACGTCATACACTTACTTGGTGCTCGTACAACAATAAAGATACAGTATAACACCTATTTGTTCTTCCTATCGGCGTATCATTTAACAGAACGTTCTTCCGAGTGTGTTGAAACGGCTGTATCACGGACACTTTCTTGAAACAAAAAACTACTGGTCAACAACCACGCGTCGTGAGATGTGACGTGACTCACGCGAACAATTACAAGATAGAAATTACATCATCGACTGCTTACTGCTTTGAACAGCCCCGCAGGTTCGTAAATTTCAGAATATATTTCCCCCTTCGTCCCTTTGACTGGATCCCGTCGCAACAAACCTTAGCCAAGGCTAATGTTGACCTCCTTGGCTTTTTTCATTCATTTTTTTAAACAAAACGGGTCGACAATAGCCATATTTTAACACACTACCATGAAATGTCAGTATAGTCAGGTTTCGACTCACCTGAAAGAGGTGGTCGAAATTTGTGATTGGCGTACCTCGTAATCATGTCGTGGTTTTGGCAAGTAGAAACCCAGTAGGTTATTATTATTATTATTATTATTATTATTATTATTATTATTATTATTCAGCACTACAGTATAGGTAGGGTGCGCGGAAGCGTGATAGGTCATGACACCGTCCACCCATCGCGTAAAGGTGCACTGAGATTTGATGAAACTGATTCACTGCTTCGTGCCCTCTGCATTCCGTCTTCACGCTGTTTCTTCGCAATAAACCGAGCGTAAGCGTGAAGTCCATCTCGAAATTCGTTACGCATTTCTGCATTCAACCTTAGTGAAAAGCACACGGAAATTGATGTCCGGTGGCTGTTCACAAGTTCCCTCTTGGTGTCTTGCGTCATTTTAATGGTGTGAGGACCGATATTTTCGGCAATTTATGCCTCAGAGAACTCCACTGTTGAAGACCACCAACAAGGCTTGGATTCAAGAAGGACGTTGGAGAACCTGAAACGCATAGTCCTATTTGAATTAGACTGCACGTATAAGTGTTAAGGGCTGCTTGAGAACCGTACCGGTGTTCGTGTTTTGTGCATACACATAGTGAATGACCAGAGGTCTCCGAGAGTTATGATCACGTAAGAAGCGTGCCTACAGGATTTCCTGAAGGACCGTCTGGAGCGGCATGTGTTCAACGAGATCGCATTGCAGACCGTGTGGCGTATACACACAAAGTGATACTCAGAATTAGGCCTATTTTCTTTGGTTATTCATTGTGAATGTGATTCCTATAGCCAGAGCGGTGTACTTGTGCTTACGGGGCTCGACTGCTTACACGAAGGTCTCGGGATCGAATCTCGGCCGTCACGACAGCATTTGGACGGAAGTAAAACGTTAGAAGCCTATGTGATTAAATTTAGGTGCACGTTAAAGGATTCCGGGTTGTAGAAATTACCGGAGCCCTCCACTATGGCGCCTCCCACAATCATATCGTGGTTCTGGGACGTGAAACGTGAGCTATTATAACTACAGTGCGAGCCCTAGCTCGTGTAACCTAGTGTTGTGTTGCTCTGTGCTAAACTCAAGCTAAGCGAGTCCAGAAAAATTACGCTTCATGTGGTTTAATGTCATGTTGGTGAATGCAGAGCCGGTCATTCCAGCTCAGTCATGCAGCTTTTCGAGGAGTTGCCCCTGGAAGACTCGGACGAGACGGAGAGGTCGTTGACGACGGCAAGTCCTCCTCAAGGGCTCCAAGGTGCTCGCCTACGTCACCACTTTTGCCGTCGTGCTCTGCGGCTCGGTGCTTTCCAAAGCCACACTTCTGTTGATGACTTCCCAGATCCAGGGACTGCGCAGCGCAAACGGTCTCAACCGTACACGAACAGGTCTGCAACCGTGAAGTGTGTGAGTCTTCTAGGCGAGTTTTTGGATGTGCCAAGCAAGCATGACATACTCTCGAAAAAAACATATACGTTAGGCCTACACTCTAAAAAAAAGTTCTTCGACTTTTTTTTTTTTGTGAGTACTGGCTTGCCCCATATACTAAGAGACACGTGAACTCTCCTTGAGGATCATTCTACTCTCGTCCAAGCAATTATGGATCCATAGGGGCGGGGTGTAGGGGTGATCAGCCCCCTAAAATGCTGTCATCCTCCTCCTTCCAGTGCTTGTCGTACACCTCCTATCAGCGATTTGAACAAATGAGTGGAACTCCATGAGCACACATTAACGGTATTTATGCTGTGTATTCTTGTGATGATATAAATGCTAAAGACAAAATATTCAGGACCCCCCTCCTCAGTTTTATTTAGGCTACCCCCCACCCTAAACTGAGTGGCTGGATTCGGACATCCGTTCGAGTGCCGTGGGATTCAAAAGAAAGTTAGCGTGTCTATTTAATAACATTCATGTACGTGGCAACTGAGCACAAAACAAAACATACTCTTTTTTTTTCTTAAAGAGCAGGCTGATATGTTTTGCTATAGGCTTGATACAGCAGAGTTCACTTATACAGAACCACTTGTTGTGACAAAATGTCTTCGCTCTTACTGACCGACATCTTAAGCGTAAGGACAACAAGTGTGTTTTCCTACGTGCGGTTCTGTTGTAATATAAGCGCTAAATCCACTATTTACACCACGCCACTGCGCAAGTACCTTTCCCCAAGCGGGAAGGTCAATTGCAAAACGCCTCCTTGTCTCGAACGCTTCCGTTCTAGCAGTACTGTTTCTCCTGGCCCTACCAAAACCCTACCATAAAGGCAGAGGGAACATTCTCTCAAAGTACTTTATCACTGCAAGTATCGCTTAGAGGCTGGGACGCTTAATGAGTCACTTGTGTAGCTCTGTTGTCCTTAAAAAACTCCAAACAGCCGTATATTCTTTTGCCTGCATTTGCTGCGATGGCTAGCGAGACAAGCGCCAGAAAATGACTTTGATAATTACCTATGATCAAAGCGAGCGAGCGATTTCACCTGTGCTCTGGTACAAAGAGTACAGGCTTTCGAACGAATCTGGAACGATAAAGAAGATGCTTATATATTCCTTTCAGTCAGTTTTAGATGATGACGGCGAGTACGTGTCTGCCATCGACCGGAGGGAACAGATCGCCTGGATGTGGGCGATCCTCTTCGCCATGTTCGTTCCGGAAGCGCTTGTATTTATGAAATCGGTACAGATGTCGATGTTCCAGACCGTGAGGATACCTCGTGCAAGTACATTCTTCCTGGTAAGTTGGACAGACATTTTGAAGAGCGCAGCTTCTTAAGCTTTTCGTTCCGCCTCTTCGCGTGCAACGAAATAACTCGGCTGGTGCGTGCCCTCTGTGTCCTCTTTTTCATCTTAGGATTGACTGTGAACCATAGAGTTTCCTAAATTAATTAGAGGGGACTCTGGCGCAGCAATCTTTCTGCGATTGTTCTGCGAATGATGGGCAGTACACACATTTGCCTAGTCTTTGTACTTGCGGGCGGCGAATCGTACTTGCGGCTTCGTTTATTGCTGGTTACGGTTTTGTTCTGAGAAAAAAAACTAACCCTTTTGTACTTTGTGACCTGATTCGAAATAGTAAGCCTAAAAGAATAAGGTTGCGAAGGGCAAACGCTGAACATTTGCTAATTTTTTTTTCGTAAAAAAACAGCACCAAGTCACACGAACACACACGGAGCCAGATGCAGACCAGAAGTACGAAAATTAGACAAATGTGTGTACCCATGGTTCCCATGCTCGCTGAAGCACCGTGCGTTTTAGCTCCCATAGACACTAGCGCTAGAGTTCACTCTAGTGTATATTAGGAAACTCTATGCTGTGAACAAAGACTCTGGCTGTAGATGTCTGTTGTGCAGTTTTTCGCATGTTCTAGTGGATAATAAGGCCTGTGGCCAGCACATCTGTTGAAGTTAACACGATGAACGTGCAATGTGGGTGTGTTTTTCAACGCATGTGTCTTCTGAAGAAAACAAAATATAAGCACAGAACAGATGAACTCAACAAAAAGGACAAAAGAGAAAGAAACGGACAGGAAGAAAGGACCTTGATATTTAAGACCTCATTAATTAGGATCACGCTGAGACATTTAATATTCTAGATTCGACACAAGCTGCGCTGTTAGTCTAGCCTTGCACTACTAGCGTTATACTGTCCACTTATTTTGTTGTTGTTTTTTTTGTCAGATTTTGTGCAAAGTCTATGTGGCATTGCACACCGGTGGTCTGGTTTATTTTCATTTTATAGGCACAGCATATCCAAATACGCGTACGTTTCACGTACATAGATGCGTCACTTAACTGAAATTATGTGTCCAGATGTTCGACGTGTGACGATTTCCGTGTGGGATGACGAGAATCTCTGTCCTCTTGTTAACATCTGCCTCATTTCGGAGCTTGAATTTCAAGGATATAATATGCGCACTAATTAAAAATGTGCATGTGACGTAGACAACATAGTGCCTCAAAAGTGAGTTAGGCTACGCCACTTCGGAGTTCCAACAGTTAACGACCTTCTTCTATGTGACGCGTGCTGCTAACGAGTCTTTAACATACGCCTCCGTGGTCGTGAGTGGCACTAACAATGACAGTTTGATTTATTACGTTTATGCAAATGAGTGAAGGCAAAAAAATAAATTGTCGTGTCAGCCCTGTAGAACGAAGCTATACATTCATACTTTTTTTAGTTCCTTGTTTCATTCGACTGGCTACAATTAGGTTGATTACATTTTTAGCACTTTCGTGATGTTTCCGTCCCCTCAAAGGCTTTCACGGAATTGACTTACGCCACTTGCAATAAAATTCCAAGACGGGCAAATTGCACGCGTATTGTGGAGGCTGGGGTACGGCTCCTGTAGATTCGAAATCGTTTTTTTTTTCCTCACATAAATTTCACATTTACTTATCAAACTAATGCTTCATTTAAACAGCCCATTTGCCTTTACATACATTTAATTTCGCTACATTCCGTTCGTTTCGTGTGATTGTTGCCGTTCTCTGATTGCCCGATTTTTTACCATGGCTCCGTCTCAAATTCGAAAGTAGCAATTCGAAAGTTCGCGCCACCTGCACCGGCAAAAAAAAAAAAAATAAAGACACGCACACGCACACGCAAACACACGTAGATTAACTTTATTAGATTTTACTAAAATATTGCGCATTAACTCAATGTTTCGAAATCACCTAGCAGTGGTTTCGCGTGACGTACGCACTTAAAATAACGCCAAATTCGAAAAGGTAAGGTTAGAGCGTTGTGCCATCGTAGATTGGGCATAAGCTCGGATCGGTCGAAATAGCCTGATGCGCTAATTCGTGAAAATCATGGCGAGGTATCATTGCTGGCATCTTTCTAAAAGTGAAGACGTCCAACTTCGAGTAAAGAAAATCGCACCAGAAGTGACGACCAAGTCAATCCCAGAGATGTTTTATGGCTGATTGATTGATTGATTGCTTGATTGATTGCTTGATTGATTGATTGATTGATTGATATAGCAAGCGAGTGGCTGAATGACAAGTGATCAGGGATATGTAAATGTTTACTACACTGGCACAAGGTTTTCCATAAAATCTAATTGTGGTGTCATTATAAGGAAGATTACGTCGGCGCGAGGTGCGCTCCCGTCCTGATTTGACTTCGTCGTATGTCACCGCTGTATTCGTTCTCACTTGATGAGTAGGAGGGTCTCAAGGTGGTGAATTGCCTGCAGCGTTTATGCGCAGGCATGTATACCTCCACTTGTACATATCAAACACTCATCTTGTGCCTGTATAGACTGGCTCCGTAGTTTCACATGAGCTTGGTGTGCTTGTGCGCTGCCATGTCGCTAAGCCTAACCCTCTCGCACAGGTCTTTGTCCTGGAGAGCCTGCACGTGGTCGGCCTCGGCTTCCTAGTCTTCGTGGCGCTGCCGCAACTGGATGCGCTGCGCGCCACCATGATCTGCAGCAACGTGGCCGTCGTCCCGGCGCTGCTCAGAGCGCTCTCTCAGAGGGACACGTCTCCCCCGAAGATGATTCTCAACATATCGGCGTTCATCGCGCAGTGCACGGGCCCCGTGCTGTGGTCCGTGGGAGCCGACGGTTCGCCGACCATCGGCGTAGCGCTGCTTCTCTCGTCCTTCGCCTGGTGGCAGTGTTTCGCGGACGAAAACTCGCCGGTGTTCCGCGTCGCCAGGCTGTCCCCGCTGAAACGCGACCTCGATCAGTGTTCCATGTTCGTCTCCCTCGTCCTGGCGCCTTGGCGGATGATGCTAGCATTTGTGACCATGCTAGCGCTGGCCGGCCGTTCGTTTGACGGAGCGTCCGAAGTGATCGGCAGGTTCCACGAGGCCTTCCAGACGCACGATTTCCCGCTCCTACGATCGCGGACGGACGTCGTCAACGGATCGGAAGTACTTGAGCTCGTTCGTACGAATTACGTCATCTGGACACCACGGTGAGTGTGTGTTTCTTAGCGGCGAATAGCTGTCTGCGCGAAAATTACTGTGTTTATGCTTAAACCGAAGCTCACTATACCTCTTTCATAGAATTTATCGCCACTGTTGTCTTGCCAAATTGGCGTAAACGGGCTAGCACATACGACAGCAATCTCATATTTACTATCCACGAGAAGCACGGACTGCTGGGTGAGCTGGTAATTCCTCTTAGCTGAGTGCGCGAAAAAAATTTGAAACACAAAAGGAATACGCCTGGGTACAGCGCACGCTAACAACTGAAACTTTAACATCTGAAACTTTATTACTTTATTCGAGAAAACACACACACACGCACACACACACACACACACACACACACACACACACACACACACACATATATATATATATATATATATATATATATATATATATATATATATATATATATATATATATATATATATATATATATATATTGATACGAAAATGCGGCTAAACACGGCTGCAAGAAAGAGGAGGACGAAGTGGGTTTTTTCCCTTGGATGCTGGTCTGGCGCCATCTTACTCGTCGAGCTCTGTGCGCTGTAAATAGATTATTAAAGAAGTTACTCGTAACATTATTGGTGGAGGTGGACGACCCCTGTACCTTGATGGAGACGCGCAGCGGTCGCACCATCGGTGAGCTTTCGACTGCTTCGACTGCTGGTACTTCCTCTACGCCGCCCTCGCCAGTCCAAGCCACCACCTACGTCACACTCCCGCACCTCCGGGATCCCGGCACTTTCTCCGGTGATGGTACGATCGACCTCGACACTTGGCTGAAGCGGTACGAGCGCGTCAGTGCAACTCACCGCTGGGATCCCACGCTCATGCTCGCCAACGTGCTTTTCTACCTGGACGGCACTCCCCGAACATGGTTTGAAAGCCACGAAGCCGACATAACGAGCTGGGATCTCTTCAAAGAAAAGATACGTGACCTGTTTGGCGATTCATCTGGTCGTCAGCTCGCTGCGAAGAAGACTCTTGCCACACGGGCCCAGTCTTCTACCGAATCGTACGTCTCCTACATTCTTGACGTTTTGGCCCTTTGTTCCAAGGCCGACCAGTCCATGTCCGAAGACGAAAAGGTTAACCACGTCTTGAAAGGCATAGCCGATGATGCTTTCAACCTGCTGGTTTTTAACAACATCTCGAGCATCGACAACATCCTTAAAGAATGCCGACGTTTCGAACAAGCTAAAGCCCGCCGTGTAGCCCAAAACATCGTGCGCCTTCCGAACACAGCGGCCACCTCTTCGTGTGACGACGTCTTCCACCAGGCCCCTCCATGTGACAACCTCACACGCATCATTCGTCGAGAGGTCGAGGCAGCACAACCGGTAGCCACGCCACTACCGACGCCTACGCCTTCGCCGACCACGATTTCTTTGATACAAGCCGTCGTTCGTCAAGAGCTATCGAATGTCGGCCTACATCCTGTACCTGCCGTATACTCTGCTGCACCCTCTTTTCGTCCCCCTTCTGCTCCTCGCATACAACGCAATCCGTCCCAATGGCGTACCCTTGATGATAGGCCCATATGTTTCAACTGTCGACGCGTTGGTCATATCGCACGTCACTGCCGCAGCCGCTGGGCTCCACCGTCCCATTATGCACCTCAGTATCCCACCACTTCTGCTCGCCAATCGTCCCCATCACTTTCTTCATCAACGCCGACCACATTTTCCGCTCCTACAGCACCTCTGAGCAGACCTCGCTACGACCGGTCACCGTCCCCTGCTCGTCGTCAGTCCCGGTCGCCCCCACAACGCCGTGCTGCCTCCCCGACCTATTCGCAGCATCTCCGACCGGAAAACTAGGCCGTGCAGCTTCTGGAGGTGAAGCTGCGTTGACGACCTTCGTAAGAAATCCTCGATTAACGTTAACAACGAACCGGAACCTTTTGGACGTTACTGTCGACAATGTTTGTGTCAGTGCGTTGATAGATACTGGCGCGCATGTGTCCATTATGAGTGCTAACCTTCGCCGCCGACTTAGAAAAGTTGTCACGCCCGCCCTCAACCGAGCTGTACGAGTCGCCGATGGAGGAACTGCCGCAATTCTTGGCATGTGCTCTGCGCGAGTGTCTATTGGGGAGAGAAGCACTGTCGTTCTTTTCGCCGTTATCGAACATTGCCCTCATGAACTCATTTTCGGTATGGATTTTCTAGCCACGCACTCTGCCCTCATAGACTGTTCAGCTGGCTCTCTCCATCTCGATTTACCCCTCTTTTCCGACCCGCCTAGCCCACCGCAAACCAGCCTCTGCTGCATTGATTTCACGCGTCTCCCTCCTAACTCCGTCACACATGTCGACTTATCCTCCACGCCGCCAGTACCTAATGGTGATAACATGGTGGCCCCGATTCCTGCAGTGATGCTTACGCATGGGGTTGCTGTGCCGCATATGATTCTGACGATTAAGAGAAACCGCACCTTCCTTCCACTGGTCAACTTTTCAGTCACCACCCAAGTTCTGCCACAGGGTATCTCCCTGGCCAAAATTACTGCTCTCCAAGATGACCATGTCGAGCCCTTCAGAGTTGACGATTGCTGCAGCTCAGTCAGTGGTTCCACTCCATCACGTTCTTGGGGTGCCGACATTGAGCGAATGGTGTCATCGGACCTCACGTCTGAGCAAGCTTCAGCGCTTTGCCACGTTCTTGAGGGCTATCGTAGCATTTTCGACTTTGCCAGCAACTCTTTAGGCCAAACGACCATTGTCACCCATCGCATAAATACTGGCCATGCAACCCCCATTCACCGACGCCCCTACCGTGTGTCGGCGTCGGAGCGTGCAATATTACAACATGAAGTTGGCAAAATGCTTGCGAAAAACATTATCGAGCCTTCATGCAGCCCCTGGGCGTCTCCAGTCGTCCTTGTTAAAAAGAAAGATGGAACATGGCGCTTTTGTGTTGATTACCGTCACCTTAACAAAATTACCAAAAAAGACGTTTACCCTTTACCTCGCATCGACGACGCCCTCGACTGCCTGTACGGTGCCACCTATTTTTCAACTATTGACCTTCGGTCAGGGTACTGGCAGATAGCCGTCGACGAGATGGATCGCGAGAAGACCGCATTCATCACTCCTGATGGTCTTTATCAGTTTAAGGTGATGCCCTTTGGACTCTGCAATGCACCAGCCACATTTGAAAGAATGATGGACTCATTGCTTCAAGGGTTGAAATGGTCCACCTGCTTGTGTTACCTTGACGATGTTATTGTCTTTTCGCCCACATTCGACTCGCATCTCGATCGTTTGTCAGCTATTTTGGACGTTTTTCGCCGAGCCGGACTCCAGCTTAACGCCTCCAAGTGCCACTTCGCTCGTCGCCAAATTTCCGTGCTTGGTCACCTTGTCGATGCCCAAGGCGTGCGTCCAGACCCAGAGAAAATTCGTGCAGTCACGAACTTTCCCGTTCCGATGACCACAAAGGATGTCCGCAGTTTTGTGGGGTTGTGCTCGTATTTCAGACGCTTTGTTAAGGACTTTGCGACCATTGCACGCCCACTCACAGACCTCTTGAAGAAAGACGCGTCGTTTACCTGGGGCCATGATCAAGCGTCATCGTTTTCGCAACTTACGACACTGCTTACAACGCCACCAATCTTGGCTCACTTTGATCCATTAGCCCCAACCGAGGTTCACACGGACGCCAGTGGACACGGCATAGGAGCTGTGCTATTGCAGCAACAACGCGGACACGACCGTGTTATAGCCTACGCAAGTCGACTACTATCTCCAGCCGAGCGCAACTATTCCATCACGGAGCGCGAGTGCCTCGCCCTTGTATGGGCAGTCGCCAAGTTTCGCCCATACCTGTACGGGCGCTCATTCCGTGTTGTCACGGATCATCACGCGCTCTGCTGGCTAGCCTCCCTGAAAGACCCCACGGGACGTCTCGCTCGTTGGGCTCTACGCCTTCAAGAGTACACGTTCTCTGTAATGTACAAAACAGGGCGATTACATCAGGATGCGGATTGTTTATCCCGCTACCCTGTTGACGAAGCAACCGATACCGACGCTATCACGGACGTTTTTTCCGTGTCGCAGCTGTTAAACATTGGCGAAGAGCAACGTCGGGATGCTTCTTTACGAGCCATCATTGACAAACTGGAGTCAACGCCACGCGACCTGTCCGTACGAATGTTTTTGGTGAAAGACGGGATCCTATATCGCCGAAACCTTGATTCCTTCGGATCAGACTTACTTCCTGTCATCCCAGCGCACCTGCGTTCCTCTGTCCTGCATCAACTCCATGACGCTCCCATAACGGGCCATTTGGGCGTTTCTCGCACGTACGATCGAGTACGACGTCGGGTTTTTTGGCCTGGACTTGCCCGCTCTGTTCGACGCTATGTCGCCGCTTGTGAGCCTTGTCAGCGTCGCAAAACGCCGTCTGCCCTCCCAGCCGGCTACCTTCAGCCGATCGACGTTCCCAACGAGCCTTTCTTCCGAGTTGGTCTCGACCTGTTGGCCCTTTTCCACTCTCCACAGCCGGAAATAAATGGATTGCTGTTGCCACGGACTACGCTACGCGGTACGCAATCACACGAGTACTCCCGACCAGCTGCGCTACCGACGTTGCGGACTTTTTGCTGTACGACATAATATTAGTGCATGGTGCTCCCCGTCAACTTCTCACCGACCGTGGTCGCACGTTCTTATCAGCTGTCGTTCATGAAATCCTGAGGTCTTGTCATACCAAGCACAAATTTACTACGTCGTACCATCCCCAGTCAAATGGCCTCACGGAGCGCCTTAACAGGACCCTAACCGATATGCTTGCCAAATACGTTGCGCCAGACCACCACGATTGGGACATTCATTTGCCGTATGTGACGTTCGCCTACAACTCATCTCGTCACAACACTGCCGGATATTCGCCCTTCTACCTACTATATGGCCGGGACCCAACTCTACCTTTAGACACGTTACTACCTGCGGCCACTAAATATGCTGGTGAAGCCATTGCCCGCGCCGACCACGCGCGCCAAGTCGCCCGTAACCATCTACAGGCTTCACAGGCGCGCCAACAACAGCTCTACAATTCTCACCATAGGGACGTGCACTTTTCTCCGGGTTCTCTCGTGCTCCTCTGGTCACCTACTCGGCGTGTGGGACTGTCGGAAAAACTGTTGTCGCCCTACACTGGACCATTCCGTATCGTTCGCAAAGTGACAGACGTCACGTACGAGATTGTTCCAACTGATCTCACAAAGTCATCGTCAGCTCCGAGCGACACCGTTCACGTGGCTCGGCTAAAGCCCTGTTACCCCCCTTCGACATCATCTGCGTAAATTTAGCACCGGGACGGTGCTTCTACCGCCGGGGGTTATGATACGAAAATGCGGCTAAACACGGCTGCAAGAAAGAGGAGGACGAAGTGGGTTTTTTCCGTTGCATGCTGGTCTGGCGCCATCTTACTCGTCGAGCTCTGTGCGCTGTAAATAGATTATTAAAGAAGTTACTCGTAACATTATTATATATATATATATATATATATTAATATATATTAAGGAAAGAAGTGTATACTTAAGGGCTCGTTTTTTCGTGTTTTTACACAGAATGATTGAGATATAACAGACAATAATGCCAAGGAAGGTATAGGTGAATATATTAGACTGAATTGTAATGTAAATAGGAAGAAAGAAAAGTGGGTGAAAAGATAACTTGCCATGGGCAGGATTCGACCCTGCGACCTTCGAATGATGATTTCGATGCTCTACCACTGAGCTACCACGGCAGCCATCCCCCCAGCCACTTTATTGGGTTTATATGTGAATTTAAGCGTGGGAGTGTCAGTCAGCGCCACCAGTAGCTATGACGGCGAGTGTGGTACACTCTTTTGAGCCTGTTTGGCGTCACGTAACACGTGAACTTATTACGAGCAGGCAGCTGACCAATAATCCCTCGTATACAACCTAAAGGCACTGTCTGCCAGTACGAGACCCTCGTAACCATATATATATATATATATATATATATATATATATATATATATATATATATATATATATATATATATATATATATATATATATATATATATATATATATATATATATATATATATATATATATATATGCGGGGTTACGAGAACACGGGCGGTGAAATAAAATGATTAGATGAGCATACAAATTGTATTAATGATACGCTTTCAGAAAAGCTACCTCAGCGGGAAATAACATAACCGAGGGTAGCGCTATCCCTACAGATTTCTTAGCTACACGATGGTGCTATACGCGATGATACAAGAAAGTCTACCCAAATATTTTTCATTCAACAAATCCATATAATCAAGAGCAGCTATCGTTCACCAAACCAAACCTTCGTATGTGCTACTGTCTTTAGAATTCGAAAAATCTGATTAGTTAGCATGCCTCTTTCGTCCAGTGAAGCCATAGTATACCATTGTGCGATTTAAAGGGTCGGCCTGAACCCCTGCGCCCTCAGAGCCACCAGATATGGTCTAGTAAAATGGAAGTATGGGGCTGCAATATATGTGCAACATTGCATGAGGCTACAGAGTAAGTGAACGAATAAGACAGCTTCGGCCACTGAATACGCACAACTGGGTGTAGAACACTGGTTACGTCAACATACTTATTTCATATGTGCGCATAATGGATCCGAATAGCCGATGTAAACAGAATCTAAATCACAGCGTGCATCAAGCAATGGGCATCCGGCTACTCAGATTTCAACAAGAAATCTTCAAAGGCGGACACTTCAGTAGGCATGCGTAAGCAAGCATTGCTAGTGACATGCGTTTGTGTACTTGTGAGATGCGCCTATTTTTCCAAACGCCACATCGACCCAAAGAGCCCAAGTCGACAGGCTACAACCTGAAGGGCCTATATACTGATACTAAAAGCACCTGTGACCATACAGCCACGCATGTGCTGGCTTCTCGGCAGTCATTGTCCAAGAGTGTGAACGTTTTGTTTAAAAAAAGCCAGCCGGAGTTCCCTAATGCACCTCACCTCGGCAGCCACACGTGCCATACTGCTAATTCCGCCATCTGCAGTCTACCCTATCGGCACGAAGGGCCTCTCGCCGTCTTTGGACCCGCCACTGACCCACCCCAAGTGGTTGACATCACAAAATTCGCCGCTGACTAGTCGGACGGCGAGCTGTTCAACCGAGATAGCGACATGCCTTCGAAAAACGTAAATGACGTCGGCGCGGGGAGACTACGTCGACACATACGGAAGTGAATCAGAGCCACGAGTGACTATTTTTTGTCCCACCTACAGCGGAACCAAAGATTGCGAAGACAGTAATGCAGATGCTGCTACGCCGAATCGCTACCACCCTCTACAGCTTGTCCAAACTTCTGCGCTGCGCTAGAATTTGCCTGCTCAGCACACATACATGGATGACAAATGCCGCCCCATATTGCAGCAACCAAATAACCTGTTGTAGCCAAGCTTAGTACGACTACATCGAGGCTGCCAATGTCGCCCACCAGAGTGTTCGGCAGCCCAGCAAGGTAGGTCTTGGTGAATAGTGGAGGAGAGGAAGGCTGGTGCCTATGATTTTGGGAATAAACGAGGCAACCTTATAATCTGGAAGTGCCGAAAGTAATAGGATACGCCGCTCCCGAAACATGCAACTCTTTGGATTCCCGTGGTTTCTACCTATCATTTTAGGGATCTCATTAAACTTTGAAATACAACATACTTCGTTTTTTTCCTGAACGTAGTGTCGATTTCGTTTGAATAAACCAGTTGCTTACGTTTGTCGATTCCGACGTTATGTTGACTTCCAGTGCTCACATTATACCTGTGAAGTGTTCGGGCTGTACCGTCCGCTTGCATTATTGCTCAGAATACACTAGTGTATTGGAAAGATCGTTTATAAACAGCGAAGAAAATATCCGGTTAAACAGGGATCCCTGGGGCACTCCACCCTGTGTTGTGTTGTATGCAGATTTGCCATTGTTAATAACCACTTTTTTTTTCCTGCGCGAGGATATTAAGTTTGAGAAAAACCAGAGTGAACTGTCACTGAATCCATAACTCTCAATCTTCTGTAACAGTATAGAATGTGTTTTCCTATATATTTAGGAAGGCTGCCATTTTACCGTTGTTAAGTGCGGTGTTCATATTGTGCATGAGCGTTTGAATTCACCTTGAACTTCATCCAAAGTAACTGGCCCAACTTACCATCTTACAGCGTTCGCATAGCTGACGCTGTACACATGGCGCGAACGAGTCCTCGCTGCTGAGAGAATGCGATGTCATCATCAGTTCAGAAAGCAGTTTCATCTATGTACAATTAGGGTCTCGAAAATGTGTTAAGACCGCTAAGAACTGATATTTTGGTCATTAGTTTTCAGGATCATTCGAGTCCCTCGATTTGTATACAGGAACTACGTTGGCGGTTCTTGATATAGATAGATATATACTACAGGCAAATGCATGGTTGGAAATATGACATATCGAAATGCAAAGACGATTAATGTTATCTTTATTCACATTAACCCTCTACCCAATTTTACCTCTTCTCAAGCCCTGGGTAGCATACCAGAGTCTTTCTATGGTTAACCTCCCTGTCTTTCTTTTATCTCTCTTTTTAACATTCTTTATCCTTAGGTGTCCTATCGGCGTATCCATGTGGGAGGTAGTGATCAGATACTGCACCCGGGGTGGCCAATACTTCTCTGGTGAGGGAGTGCATTACCAGCAGTGGTCATCGGTGAGGCTGCACCCCAGGCCTTTTAACGCCTCTTAAAGAGGACACAGAAAGTTAGGTGAAAAGATGAGATTAGGAAGTTTGCGATATAAAGTGGCAGCAGAAAGCACAGGACCGAGTTGACTAGCGGAACATGGGTGAGGAGTTTGTCCTGCAGTGGACGTAGTTAGGATGATGATGATGATGATGATGAAGAAGAAGAAGATGATGATCCTTAGCTGGTATTCCATCAACTCTATTCACTTTCTTTACCAGCATATTTGCCACGATAGATTTAATTTCCTCTCATGTGATTTCTGCAAGGATTAAGTCATTGTCAATCAATCTAGTGAGAGAGGGAGCGGATATCTACATGCGAAACTGACCAGCAAGGTTAGCGCCAATTCTAGTGAAATGTGTATTGAAATTATCAATAAGTTCTGAGGAGAAGCTTTCTGCAAGAACATAAGAAAGCGTTTTGTTTGCTCTATGTTTGTAACAGTTGTGACTAATTGCCATATCTTTTTTTTGTTGTATTGTTGCCTTCTCGCCTATTATGTTGGTATAAGACTCCTTCTTAAACATTTGTTTAATTGTAACTGACCATGTTTTTATAGAACTTGAAGCTTTCGCGGTAATATGCGTTGCTCATGTTGTTTTTCTTTACTTGTTGTAGCAGGAGTCATTTATTTTTAATATATATATATTTTTTCAAATCTAGTAGTCATCTACGGGCAGATATTATGATCGTAATGTGACGAGGGCCTTCACGTGTCGACTGCCCACTCACTTTACTTATGGGCCCCAGAAAGCTGTCACTAATCTACTATATCGTTATTATACAGACTGTACCAGTGAACATCCTGGAGCAATCTGCTCGGCTGAACATAACCCACATATGCGGCGCGCTGCAGTAGCAACGCACCAACCTTTCTACAGAGAACACACACCTTTTTACAGAGAACAGAAATGTCGGTTTATGATCTCTCGCCCTGAGCCCCTGCTCCGCGTGACGTAAGATGCAGTCGTTAATAGATCACGATTTTTCAGTGACACGAGATGCAGTTGAAATAACCTTTCTAAAGTGAAATAACTAAACTAAAAATAATCAAATCTATTCTTCAGCAAATAAATATTGAAATATATGCATGCAACCAACAGACCTTGAGTGGCTAAGTGGTGTTTTCAAATTTCCCATAGTGTAGATGAATTCATTCACCACTGAAAAGGGTGGGCGGTAGACGACGCCAACTGTAATCCCATGCTTATCGTCTCGACTGAGCAAGCATAAACGGTATCTTTAGGCAGAAAGTCCTCTGGCACGTGATTAACTCGGGCGAGGCATGGGCGCCATAGTGTAGCCAGGTAAATGAGCAGTCTCGCCTTCTTTCAGCCATGTTTCCGTTATGGCTATCACATCGTGTGTCAAATTGTGTTGGGTCAAATATGCGAGTATTTTATCCAAGTTATTTGTAATGCTACGAATGTTACAATGCAACATAGAGAAATTACCTTGCCCCAGTCATGCCTTCTCGATTGATTTGTGGGGTTTAACGTCCCAAAACCACTATTTGATTATGAGAGACGCCGTAGTGGAGGGCTTCAGAAATTTCGACCACCTGGGGTTCTTTACCGCGCACCCAAATTTAACGTGCACACGGGCCTACAACATTTCCGCCTTCATCGGAAATGCAGCCGCCACAGCCGGGATTTGATCCTGAGACCTGCGGGTCAGCAGCCGAGTCCGTTAGCCACTAGACCACCGTGGCGGGGCGCAGTCATGCCTTCTCAAACTTCAATTCTTCCATTTGAAATCCTACGCTAATTAGAAACTTAATTAACCTAAATGTTTAATTACTGTCCCAAATGATGTCTTTAACCATCTCACGATGCTTGCCGCTACAGAAATAACAAGTGTGAACGCTGCGAGCAAATATCGCATCTTCATTATTTTTGAGGACGTTGGACACATTTCTTGGAACAACCACTATACACACAAGCACAAACTGATTCCATTTGCGGCAATTTTGAAGTGCTACAAAGGGAACCCTGACATTGCCTTTTCAACACCAGTTTAATATACGTGCTAAGCGACTGTGCATGGCGCCTGTTCTTCGCTACAGGCTCGTCCCAATCGCCGTCGGTGCAGTCCACGCGGCTGCGAGCTACGTCACCTATCGTGCCTGCGTGTTCGCCTGCCGAATCAAGATCCAAGGCTTCTCGATGGCGGCTCCGTTGACGATGAGCGGGGTCGTCACCATGCTCGCCCTAGCTGGCGCGTGCGCGAAACGCCGCGTGCAGCCTTGCTTCCTGAGCGGCGTCTTGCCGTCCTACGTGTTTCTCAACTGCTACGAAGGCGACTTCCTCCCGTTGATCACCCAAGAACACGCCTGGGTTTGGGTCGCCTGGTTCCTCAGCCTTGCGAGCGTCACGGCCCACGTCTGGAAGTCCAAGTGCAGCAGGATGGCGACCGAGGAAAGGCAAGGACTTCTGCGTGCTCGATTATCAGTGGCGTCACTTAACGATGTGCTTCCGTGCGAAAACTTTTTTTTACTACCAAAACTACTTGTAGGCAAGAAAAAGAAATGTAGTCGTGCAAAATCTTATTTCAAATTGTGTCACTGGTGCAAGAAAAAAACTTAGTTGCAAAAAGTTGCGAAACTATAGTTAGGCCTAATAGCCTCTCTATGTACGAATTGCCCAACATCGTTTTTTTTTTTTTTGTGCCCACAGCCGGGGCTGAAGTTGACTTCTGCTGCTCATTGTTGGGGTATGGGTAAACGACACTCTCGGCAACGAAGACGCGAGTTTCCAATAGCACTGAGCAGTTTGCTGTTGTTTACTTTGTTTAAGAAGCCATGTCCGCGATCCTGCACGCAGGTAGCGAACAGGTTAAACAGACATTTGGGGGCGATGCTCCCTATGCCGTGGGTCATGCGTCCGCGATGTATGTAGTAGTTGTCGTTGTAGTAGGTAGCCACCTCCACGGCCGGACTAGAGGAGCGGCACGCGCGCACCCTTTTCAATTGAGGAGGAAACCGGCGCAAGTTTAGCATAAATAAAAAGATACTTGTTTTTCATGATATAACTTAGAGACGAGTATTGGTGACTCCAATAAAATTTGCCTTGAATTCGATGCTTACTAAAAAAAAAACTAGTATCAGAAGGGCGCACTTTGAGCACTATCTGACCAGAAAGGGTTGTTACGTTAAACTCGCTGGGCGTAACCTCCTTGGTTTTAGCGAGGTTTAGCGAGGGTTGGGCCGCAGTGCCATGGATATAGTGAACTAGTATACAGTGGAATATGGCCATGAACTAGAGGCGGTGAAAGGTTGGAAGTAGGCACGAAGACCAGGCCGTAAGAAAGTGCACGAGTGCCACCTCTCCATTGGTCCTTCGAATCTCCGCTGAATGGCGGTAGTTCTATACGCTAAATATATGATGAAATGATGCAAGATGGTGGTATTTGGAGTGTTCTCTAGATAGACAGATGGATGGATGGACGAACGGACGGACGGACGTTTCGCCCGACTCATCATCATGCACACCATGGATATGCTGTGATTTTTTTTAGTTCACGCATAAGGTATATGGAAGACAAGGAATGACACCATACGAAATTAAGTTTCCATTTCTATATTTATTGCCGTCTGTCTATATCAAAGGTGTGTGGACACGATTATAAGACATCGCAAAAAAAGGCAGATCCGACGCACTGTGGGAATCGATATGCGAAGCACGAATGAAAAATGTTGATATGTCACTTTAAAATCAGCACAACGTTACGAGGTGGAGGTAAATGATGCCGTACATGACTTCCTTGCCATGGTTATCATGTTTGGATGTGTCGTTTGCCTTCGTCATCTATTCACGTCACGCGATACCAAATTTAGTATATGTGGAGCTATCGAAACGGCTGCGAGCACGCTATGAGCGTGGTGTGTTGTCATGTTCTTACATGACACGCGTGTCAGGATTATCATGTTTGCACCAGTCATATATTTCGTCATCTATTGACGCCTCTTAACGCAAATTTGGTATATGTGGAGATAGCAAAAAACAGCCACATTACATCATGAAGGGCCCATTATACTCCAACGTAGCGTTGACGCGTGCGCACGCTAGGCACAGCGACGCTACGTAAGCAAAACGCGAGCACTCTATAGTCTGACGCCAGGCGCGACCAGCGTCTGTCGGCGCGGTACAACGGCAACCGGCGCGAAATGCGACATGCAGCATTTTGCCCCTACGCACTACCCAGAAAACACTGCATCTCCTTCTTTTAGTGACGGAGGGACGCCGGACGCAGCGCGGCGCGCGCCAGGACCGGTGTCTGGCGTGGCAACGCCGGCGTGACGCGACGAAATGAACGCCGGCGAGTACGCGCACCGCGTCACGTCAAATGTATTGGCACCTTAACTGTGGCATGTAGTCATGTTCTCACATGACACGCATCTCATGATTATGTTCGCACCAGTCACATACTTTCGTCATTAATTGGCGTCACGTACTACCAAATTTGGCATATATGAAGCTAGCGAAACTGCTGCGAGCGCATCGTGAGTGTGGCGTGTGGTCATGTTGGTACATGACACGCATGTCGTGATTATCATGTTTGGACGTGTCATTTGCCTATGTCATCCGTACGCGTGAAGTAATACCGAATTTGGTAAACGGCTGCGAGCGCATCATGAGCGTGGCATGTAGTCATGTTTTTACATGACATGCATCTCATGTTTATCATGTTTGAACCAGTATCATACTTTTGTCATTCATTCACGTCCCGTAATACCAAATTTGGTATGAGTGAAGCTAGCGAAACGGCCGCCAGTGAATCGTGAGCGTGGCATGTAGTCATGTTGTTTCATCACACGAATCTCGTGATTATTATGTTTGCACCAGTCACATACCTGCGTCATCCACTCACGTACTGTAATACCGAATTCGGTATTAGGGGCAAAGCTCTTTAAAGCGGCACTTGTTCGTCCCTCGTAGTCGTAGTCGTAGTTTGTAACAAGGGTTACATTTTGACCTGCTAGGTGGTGCCGGTGGGGGATTTCTCCTGTGCTTTGTTGATCAATAACAAGTTCGTGGCGTGCGCGTTAACTAAAAGCCGAATGCTCCTGTCTCTCATTCCCCATTAGCAGCCATTGGCATGTACATTGAGCACTATCTGACAAGAAAGAGATGAAAAGATGCGAGATGGTGGTACTTGGAGTGTTGAATGGATGGACGAACGAAATCGCAGACAGATGCATGGAAGAACGCCGGGACGGACGCACGAACAGACGCACGCACGCACGGTCGGGTGGATGGACGCACGGACGGTCACACAGACACACACGGACGGACGGAAGCAAGAACGAATGGACGGAAGAATGCTTCGCCCCACTCTCCATCATTCACTCCGTGGATATGCTGCCATTTTTATTTGACGTTAGTGAAACGGCCGCGAGCGCATCATGAGCGTGACATGTAGTCATGTTGTTACATGACACGCATGTCATAATTTTCATGTTAGGGTCTGTCGCTTGTGTTCACCATGCAATCATGCCATACCATACCAGTTTTGCAACATGCCATGTGAACGAAACCATCGCAAAAGCAACAGGACCAAAAAATGTAAGTCATGACATTCATGATATATATGTCACAATTTTCATGTTATGACTAGTCAAGTATGTTCTTCATAGAGTCATGTTATGCCATACCAAGTTTGGTATCGATAAGATTTTCGAAACGGCCAGGAAAGCTAAAAAGTCCTAGGCGGCTAGATAGATAGATAAATAGATACGCTCAAAATCGCCGAAGTTCGCTAAGAAATGCTTCGCATTTATTATGCCCCCACATTCAGTAAGTCAGGCTTACCGCAAAGGGTAAGTCTGAGTACTGGCAAGTCATCACAGCTCCACTGAGTTTGCGAACTTTGCGTCCTGCATGCAGTCCCAGAAACCGGGGTCGATGGTGGCAATGCACTCATCGTTGTTAACGTGTACCACACAAGCACGCACATGGCAGACCTGCCGCTAGCATACGTGGAACACTGATGTCTTCCCATGACGTCACATTGTCATGACACGTCACGCAAAAGCCATCCTCTCAGTATCAAAACCGAAAGTGTATTTTTTAATAAAGTCGTATAAAAAACCTACGCGATGCACCCGATACCACTGTACTCGTTTTAGGATCCTCTGAACATCAGTTATTATTTAGAGCAACGATCCCTAAATATTAAAATTCGTGACGGTTGTCCTTTAAATACTGCCAAGTATCGATTTGAGTGCGCCTTTACGCTTCTGAATAAAGAAACAGATATTAGACCGGTATGTCAAGCTGCACAATAGGCATCTAGCTTGCCGATTGTCTGCAGCCCTGCAATGAGTGAATATATTAGTAATACAAAGACGTGCCAGCAGCAGGCCCCGGAAACTCGCTGCTAGTTTTGATTTAGAGGAACATGCACGCTCGTAGCGGTTACCGGGCATCTGATGACTCGCTGCTAGTTTTGATTTAGAGGAACATGCACGCTCGTAGCGGTTACCGGGCATCTGATGACCCGGTTGAACGGAGTGAGGTTGATGTGGATGTGCGTATTTATTGGCTTTCACGTGTTTTTACAAATAAAAAAAAACGATGTCCCTGTAAAGAACCTCTTTTTTGGTTATATGTCCTTTCTTATTTCTCATCTTGTGAACTTCAAATGAGGCGAAGCGCGGGAAGTGATTTAACTGGTGGGCACAGCGGCACTCAGGCAATGCGGACGCTTAACCCCTTCGTCTTCATCGTGCAGATGCTGCAGCTCTTCCCGGACTTGCTGTTCTCTGTCAGCGGTGGAAACGCCATCTTGACCACGGACACGTGGACTGCGCAGGCATTCAACGCAACCGACACTACACGCACCAGATATCCTGCTCTTCGTGGCAGTTGAATCTGTGTTGCGTCAATACAAGGCAACCAGTGCAATCGACCTACAAGCAGCGCCACCACGGATAACCACGACTACAAAAGCGCCCGCACCAAACAACGCAGGCTGTGGGCACAGCGGCACTCAGGCAATGCGGACGCTTAACCCCTTCGTCTTCATCGTGCAGATGCTGCAGCTCTTCCCGGACTTGCTGTTCTCTGTCAGCGGTGGAAACGCCATCTTGACCACGGACACGTGGACTGCGCAGGCATTCAACGCACGACACTACACGCACCAGATATCCTGCTCTTCGTGGCAGTTGAATCTGTGTTGCGTCACTACAAGGCAACCAGTGCAATCGACCTACAAGCAGCGCCACCACGGATAACCACGACTACAAAAGCGCCCGCACCAAACAACGCAGGCTGTGGGCACAGCGGCACTCAGGCAATGCGGACGCTTAACCCCTTCGTCTTCATCGTGCAGGTGAGAAGGGAACATGGAATTTGTATTCGATCAGACAACCGTTTCTTGCTTGTGCTGCTGTGCCCGCGGCAGTTTTGTGGAATTGTGTCA